CCCCCCCCCCCCCCCCTCCCCCTCCCACGAGTGGATAAAAGTCCAGAACGAAACGTACGATTGATTACGATTGATTGTGTTCTCGCGCGGTATCACCGTACATGTATAGTCTACGGGGCACCCACTTCGCCGGAGGTATATGTACGTCGCGGTTTCATCGTGAAAGAAGGTGACGTACAGCATCGCCTACCACATTTTGAAACATTGTGTGTTGTGCAGTATACGGCCGTGGCATGTTGTTGTTGGGCATCGCACACACACGCATCGACCGGAGTTTTCGCGCGGGGATGTGCGATCAAAGCACCCCCCGCTTACTACAAGTATACTGTTGTTTAGTCAGTATCGCGCGCGTATCTAAGTTTTCGCCCGGGGGTTGTGCGTCTGCGTAATTTGCGACAAATTCCGTGAGGAAGAGACTGCTGAAAATAATCCTTTTTCTCGCGTTACAAATCGAAGACAAGGCTAATAATGAATTTTCTCTGTTCACCTCTGTTCCTCCTGTGGGACCCCGGCTGATACATACGAATACGTCAAACACACACCGAAAAATCAACACCTAGATGTGGACGAGTTACACACACAACACACGCAACTAACGTCTGTCTCACCTACTAAAGAACTTCCTCTCCTGTTAAGCGGTAGCCAAGCGGATGGAACTACGTTCTGCCTATAATAGATATAAATAATCTGCTGACACATTCTACCTCGATCAATCGGGCGTGGACAGCCGTTGACGTAACGCGCCGCCTGCAATGTCGCGCCGCTTGTGCTATATCAGACTATTGGAGAATAACGAACTCGGCGAAAAAGTAAAAAGAGAAAAACGCCACCCTTGCGAACGCATGTGTGTTGTGTGTTATCGTCCTTTATTTATTATGGCGACAGTCCCCCCATTTTTCGTGGTGAGACGTGTCCTACACTTTTCAGCGTATGTAGAGTACTACACGTTCCAGTGTATTTTTTCGTACAACTACAACCATCCAGGGTCACACAGGTTTGGGGTAAACACCACCAGGGCTTTTTTCTTCTCTTGATGTATTTTCATGCCCCACCTTCCTCCTGCGGTGCGTGCTGGATTTTATTTTTATCGCGAGAAGGGTCCAGCCGTCCCTTTCCCTCGTCAACGGTGCTAACGTCGACGGTTGGTACTCACGAGAGCTTTTCGGCAATATTTCGCTCTCACCCGCAAAAGTTCACAAAATTTCAGCCCCTGGGGGTTCGAACTAACGATTTCTGCGACGACTAGCGGTTTACGACGACCACCACTAGACGACATACCAACAACCAACACCAAGATGTAGGAGGACGCACGATTACACATCTAGGTGTTTTTTTATCCCGCAACAAGCCCAACGTCTTTTCCTTGGTCAGACGGTTAGCGCGGTCGATGCTAACCAAGAAAACACAACAATATCTATCTGATCTGCAACGGCCCACGCACGACCCGACGATGAGTAGTCGCAAACGTCACCTAACAAGTCAAGCCGTCCGTGCTCGCTACCTACCAAACTTTCACCGTGACATAATCATTTCTTCTTCAGCAGTGCCGTCTGTAGGTCAGGGGTAGGCACATTCACCGTGACATATTCATTTCTTCTTCAGCAGTGCCGTCTGTAGGTCAGGGGTAGGCGAAGAGGACGCAGCGCATAACTCATTTCAATCCGCGGTCACGAAGACGGTAGGGAGGCAGGGAACGCCC